CTTCAGGATTCCGTCTATTGATATGATTTGGAATTCGAAGTTTCTTAATGACCCTGCGACCATCAAATGACCCGTTGTTATTTACAGAATTAGGATCAGAAAAGATCGAAAATAAAGTTGTTCTGTGCAAATGATATTGTTTAAAAACTGAAATATATTTAAGGCAGAGATCGCCCGTTGAACATTGAAAGAAATCAGAATTCCCACAGTCGACCCCGCGCGGTACGGATTTTCGTCATTTGCCGGGAGGCTATGGAGAGTCCTTCGCTCGTTCACTTGCGACAGACAGACGTAACGGACGAACCATAAACGATCGTCTATCAACGGCTACGTCAGCTCGTTTGTCCTTCGCTCGGATTGGGAGGGGTATGTAGAAGATAGTAGAGATGGCGGTAATGGTTCTTCGCTCCGTCCACCTCCCCCACTACGAGGCTAGACCCTCCAGGAGAAGGAGAGCTGGTCAGCAGCCGGTCGGCGGACAGACTGATTCGACTCATGGAACTGATTTAGCCCGAAGAAATAATCGGACGCGTCGCACTTTAACGGACACTTTACAAAAACACGGGCAGGATCTTCAAGATCGCTGAGAATTTCTCAATTGCATGCGCATGTACCGATATGAACCAAGTTACAGGAAAGAGACCTGGTACAGTACAGTATTCAACTTAATTTCATATGATTTTGACCGCTATCTGAAAGTAAATGAAGTGTACTGAATACGTTTTGCAGGTGTGTCTTTGGATTCGTTTTTTGTTTTTCACACATGCCTTTGGGTACAAGATATCATTCGGAAGTCAAAGATTGTTCTGTCAATTCAGTGGCTGCTGGGCAGAGTCTAATGATGACGCAAGCTCGGCGATAAAAAATGAGGAGGATGGAGATTCCCGCTTGTTCAGATTTCAGGGCTGCTCCGACATTGTTGCCTCTCGGCGAGGATTTCTTGTTGCTGCTTCTGGCACTACATGTGCGTTGGGTACTCTCTCTAGGCTATCAGTCTCGTCATCATCTTCAAAATTAGGTGGCACCGAAGTACTTCCATTTTCAACCCTCCGTCGGTACAAATCTATTCAGCTGTCCAATGGAATGCGCTGCGTACTGGTAAGTAGCAAGCTTCATACTTCTTTCAGACTTTCACAAACGTCCTTATTCATTCCACATCGCAGGTGAGCGACAGAGCTGCACGCAACGCTACTTTCAGGCCTTCACAAACGTGTTCTAACCTCCTTATTCTATTGCATCGAAGGTGAGCGATAGAAGTGCAAGCAGCGCTTTGTTTCAGACTTTTACAAACGTGCTCTAACCTCCTTGTTCATTCCACATCGAAGGTGAGCGACATAGCTGCAAGCGCCTCTGAAGCCTCTCTATCAATAGCTGATAGTGGCCAGTTCTCTGATTGTTTTGATGGAAATGCACACCTGATGGAACACATTGGTAAGTAGCAAGGTTGGATTTGATCTTAGACAAAACGTGCCCTAATCTCGGTTATTGAATATTAATCGGCTTTGTTATTACCTCGATACACTTTAGTATTGAGCTCGGGATACTCAGATCTTGACTTTGATGATTGGATTTCCAGTTATGACGGTTATTCCAATGGTTTTACTGCGTTCGAGAAGGTATGTTTTCATTTTGGTTGTCCAAATGAAGTTCTGCAAGAGGCGCTGGAGAGATTCGCACTTCTCTTCACGGAAAAGAATGTTCAGGATGCCTGCAACGATAAAACCATACTCAAGCGGGAGATTAGAAGAATCAACAGCGAATTGGATCCAAAGAATGACTTTGCAAAAGAAATGTACTTGGTGAAGAGTTTAATCAACCAGCAGCACCAGTACTCGCGATTCTCCGCTGGGAACATTGAAACTCTAGAGCTTTGGCCTGAACGAAACAACGTTGATGTCGGAACTAAACTTTTCGAGTTTTTCAAAAAAAAGTATTTACCAGAGAAAGCTGTTTTGGTTGTGATTAGTCCAACTGATTTGAAAACTCTGGAAACATGGGTCGCTCCGTTTGCAAGAACTTTGTCGCAAACAAAACCTTCGAGTGGCGAAACCAAGCAAATATTCCCGAGACTAATGCTGAGCAATGGCAAACTGTCATCAGTTTGCATGCTTCGACAGAATCCAATTGGAGGGCAATACCCATCAGACAGCTATGAAACACTCTCGATCTATTTTGGTCTGTCGCTTGACTACTCTGATCAAAATGGGGTGACTGGAACACAGCTTGGTTTTGCACTTTCACAAATGTTTGGAAGGCGTGGACCTGGCTCACTCTACAAGCTGCTGCAACAACGCAAATGGACACCGGTTGGGTCAAAAGGGGTGCCGTCGATTTCTTTTCCAGTTGATGTTTCTGGATTTCAACTCATGAAATTTCAATTATTCTTGACGCAACATGGTTTTGCCAGCCGTTCTTCAGTTGTTGCGGCTGTCTATGACGCAATAGGATCGTTTGGAGCAAGTTCAGTCTCAACACCCAATTTTGAGGTTAATAGAAAGCTCGTTGCTCAATATCTCAGCATCGGACAACTCTATGGATGGCTTCTTGCTCCACGACCTCCTGATGCTGTCGAACTAGCATTTGATGCACAAGTGTATGGCGTATCAGAGCAAAAGGGTATAGGCGGCAACAATTGGTATCGCCTACCGCTTCCTCAGAACGCTGTTGCTGTAGCAAGCCTTCAAAAGTCTTTGGCTGATGCGCTACGCATAATGAACGACCCATTTCAATCCATTGCTGTTGTGACAGCCTCGTCACAATCAATCGCGGCAATGAGAACAAAATCATTTGATGACAACTTGCCTCTATTGCCTTTGTCGAAATGGAACAGCGAGCCAGTGACAGGCGCCAAGTACGCTTTCGATGATATGTTTCGACTATCCGGAAGATTACAGGAGTGGATATTAGCGCGTTCAATGGAAGATGAGCTCCAACCTCCATCATTGAACCCCCTGATTCCCCGATTTTTTAGACCAGCTCGAATTATAAAAAAAACTGAAAAGATTTATCAGTATCCATCGGTATTGCAAAATGACGGTGGTTACTGGGCCGTTCTGGGAGTTGCCTCTGTAACTGAAAGAAATTTTTTTTTCCCACTCCCTTTAACTGCACCAGAGCCAAATTGTCGTTGTGGCTTTGTCTTGCAATTGCTGTCAAAACGACCTGCCAGAGCGAAAACTCTACAAGCTGCACATGCTGAGCTTTGGAAGGCAACGCTGGAAATTGAACTTGCTGATCTGGCAGAGCTCGGGTCTCCTGCTGGTCTGGCGTATGAGATCAGCTTCAACAGGTATGGCATGAGAATTTGCTTCCTGGGTTTGAGTCAAAACATTGGGGTTTATGCAAGAAGAGTTGTTCGGAAGATTGTAGATCATCAGACGAGGTTACTAGACGGTCCCCAAAAGCTTCCAAGATCACTTGTTGATACCGCAATCACCTCGGTGAAGCAATCCAGACAACTTTCTTCGAGACGCAAGATAGAATCAATTGCTATCATGCGAGATACATCAGCTACAGAGGCTGCTGTAGAAGCCATTGCATTTTTTAAATCGTGTAGTGGTGGAGTTTGCTTTTCTCAAGGTGATTTGCTTGCGCAGGAAACTAGGGGATTACTAATGGATCTCCGGACCATTCTGGAGCCAGTACTGGGGAGAGGAACAGGCACTGGGGTAGCTCTTCCACTGATTAATGATATACAATATCGCGCAAATTGGGTGCCCCGTTCCGCTTCCATTTGTAGCATCGCGGGGGCAAAACTCATATCAGATGCATGTGGGAGAATCCCACGATGATGTACGGATATGCTGGGGGATTTGGATTAGGAAACCTTTGTCAATCATCCATTCTTGAGATTGCCCCCCCCCCACGTTGTTGCCGGATGAATTCGAAATCCCATCACGCAAAAGGGTGCCCGTGATGAGTCAGCAGCATCTTTGCTCGAAAGTTTGCCCACTGGGTAGATATCAGCACCATGGGTGAGTAGAAATAGATGACACAAGCTCGGGCCGAACGCACAGCCATCTGTCTTCGAATCCCACCAGATCCACACCTCTCCACATTTTGGACAAAACCGCTGGCAGAACGAATTTCTGAGTACTCCCGAAGTTTGGATGTGGCTTTGACGACGAATAGAATGATGTGTTTGGACGGGACAGTGTTGATCAAGATGATTCTTTTGGAAGTCATTTGACGCTCCATATGGGAGAAGAGGTGCGCCATCACAAGATGCTCTTGGGCACCTTCCAAACATCGCCACACGAACTATCCTCTTCAAGCTGTCAAGCCCACGTGCACTTTGACAGAATCGTGAATGGACCATGAGGTACAAGGCCTCAGCCGCCACGTGAAGAACTTGCGGAGGAACAATAGAATGTTGCACTACAGAATTGTCATCAGTTTCATTCAAGATTAGCTGTAACGCAAGCCTATATATTGGATAGGAGCGAGTAGATACCTGCATCAGCTCTTTAGCAATTGCAACTGCGTCGTCACCTGCAACTTGAAATCCAATCCTTTCAACGATTGGACCTAACCGAGCGACGTTAAAGCCGTCGGCGATGAAATCCTTGGGAACTGGCAATAGAACTGCATCGTTATTGTTAGGCTTCACATAAATGTCACGCAGGTTTTTAGTATCAAAGACCTACCATCTCGAGGCCTACTGATCAAGTAACGTCTGATCCATGGAGTTGTTGTCGAAGATGATTTCTGGCTCTTCGCTGCATCACTGATACTTCCCTTCAACTGCTGTGTTGGAATAGCTGATTGTTTTTTAACATTGTTTCCGATTCGTATCGAAGTAGATTGCGATGTTCGCGGCTGCCATCTTTCGGAATGAGGGCCGGAGGATGAGGACCGATTTGTTCCTATTGGCTGTTGTTTCATCTGGGCTCCAAGAAGCAGAGAAGTTTTCGATAAAGGGGCTTTCGTCAGAGAAGATGACTTGGATTCAACAGCATCAGTAATTCCAAGTTCTCGTTTACGTTTGTTTGCTCTTATAGATAATGGCTTGTCAACCCCCTGATCCATCAGACTTGAGAATGCATTGTCGTCGGACAAATCAAATGATTGGTGATACGTTCGCGAATAACAGCCACTTATATCGTTTCCAGAATCTTCGGCCCTCGCAATTGCCGCAAGCACCTGTTCTTCGTCTGAGGATTTCTCACTGGCCTCGGATTGGAAAACATTGCCTGTGTCAGAAGATTCTTCAGTGTGGTAGGGGAATACATTTCTTTGAGAACGCCTGAATCCCTTGGCAAAACTGCTCCAGCTAGCGTTGAATAGAGCAAGGAATAAGAGACTTCTCTGAAACTTAACCGCCATCGAAGCCAACCAAACAAGTTCCACACGTGCAAACGCAGCTGGATAGTGAAGCCAAGCAAAATGTAAATGCGACGTGAAAACGGAGGCAGAGTTGAGTCAAAGAGGTCGAATTTCGAATTATTTTCGTCTGCCCATCCGCCGGCCCGACATCGCCAGAGTTAGACTACACGTGTACCGGTATCCGGTATGAATAGGAACGCATCAGTCCATCACAAAACTTGAACCCAAGACACTCGAAAATCTTCACGAAGATTCTTGCGATGGAACTCAAGAACATGACTCGTCTTGCTGTTATTGTATCACTTATCCTCCCTTTGGCATTTGGTTTTGGACCAAGCAGACCACATGTCTCTGTTTCAAATCTTGCTGCCACCAACCATCGCGGCATCAATACATCTCTGAAAGCTGCTGCATCGAATCCCTTCAATAGTCTTCCTTGGAACGTTGAAAAGGAGAAGAACAAGAAAGCCCGCATGCTAAAGTTAGAGCGGTCAAAGTTGCATAGAGAACTTGGAATTGCCGAAGATGCATCCTACGAAGAAGTTGTGGAAGCAACTGATAGGTTGATTGCCCGAGCTGGCGACGATCTCAAGCGCAAAATAAAAATCGAGGTAGCAAAGGACAAGATTCTGCAAATTCGACTGAACGCGAGACTAGCGGGACTGGCTGCTGCATCAACAGAGGCAAGGGCCCAGTCGACGTTTGAAGTTGATGGGTAAGTGTTCACGATTTTGTTAGTGTTCAAATTAATTTTCGAGCTTTTTGAGGTCGACCTTGATACACTTTACTGTTGCATACTAATTTATGTTTTATTTGCGTTGAATGCAATAGGGCTGACGAAGAAGCCGTTGCAACGAAGGATAAAGATACCGAATGGCAAGCACCACGATGGACCCAAGGACTGATTGTAAAACCTGATGATGCTCAACGCAACGGACAAGCTCGCCTATGGGGAGGAATCACACTCGCAGGATTGGTCTTCCCTCCTGCCATCGACTACCTCAACCGTTTCACATGGCTCGTGTGTATTGCCCAACTCTCCTTCCGGGGAATGCCACGCGATAATATGGAAGGCGGAGGACTGGGTATTTCCTTCAACGCTGGAGGTGGGGGGAAGTCACATATGAAGGTTGCTTGGTTGCTTGGTATCGGAGTCAGTGTCATAGGCGCTAGTTTGGTCTATGGTCTCATGCCTGCCTGGGCAAAAGGACAACGGTATACAGCCCTTTTGGCGTACACGTTACGGAACACAATCTTTGCCGTTGCATGTTCATACCTGCAACCTTACAAGGGTTAAGTGTTTGTCATTCCTAATATTAATAACGATCTCATCATCACTATTTTACTTTACAGTGTTCGATGTTTGACTAGCCCGAATCAAAATAGTCTTCTGGAAAAATAATCCCCACAATTCACATCAGTCAGGAAAATTAGAACTAAGTAGTCAATAGTTATCATTCCTTAGTTCTGCATGTCTTGTTACCCCCAATCCATGAAAGTATCAGGCACCAGTACGTACAAGAAGTACAATACGAGCTTGGTATTGTACTGCAGGGTTTTTTCCGTACCGGGTACGATACGGTCGGGATTAATAAACTATTTCAGTCTTCGATGGTTTTGGTGGTGGTATTGAATCCCCCATATATATTAATATACTCGTAAAAGAAACATTTGCCCTGCACGCGCACATTTTGCTCAATTTTGCGTTTTGTTCCGTTGGACGCTGAACTCAAAAATATCCATTTTTGCAAGAACAATGACGGAGCAGAAAAAGAAATCCGGATCATCGGCGAAATCCACATCTAGTTCTTCATCGCAGTCGAATATTCGAGTGGTGGCTCGTATACGACCACTCGCGAAGTATGAGCTGGAAAATGGAAGCAAGCAAATTGTGAATTCGCTGCCGTCACTTCTCGGAAGCTCACCAGCGACGGGGCCAACAACGGAACCAGAGGTTTTGGAAGTGAAGCCACCAAATGCAGAAAAGAGATGGTTTGAAGTAGACGCTGTCTTTGATGGGATTTCGACGCAACGGGATGTCTATGTGAAGTCAGGTGCACAACAAGCAGTCTGCCAAGACATCTTCAAAGGATTCAATTGTACAATTCTCGCCTACGGCCAAACAGGCTCTGGAAAAACGTTTTCCATGGGAACTGCTGCCGGATCGACTGAAATAACAGAAAATGATGGAATTATTCCACGCGCAACTGCCGATCTTTTCAGAATGATCGATGAAAGATGTGACGGGAACGCACAAGTTGAGCTGTCATACCTGGAGATTTACAACGAGGAAATCCGAGATTTGATGGTTGACGACGAGACTGGAGGCAAAGATCTCCGAGTTCGTGAAACGCTCAATGGAGAAGTATACGTGAGTGGCTTGCAGTCCCTACCTGTAGCGAATCCTCAAGAGATTGGAAAATGCATGGAAGATGCTTCGAAGCGTCGTGTTGTAGCATCTACAAAGATGAATGCCGTCTCTAGTCGGAGTCATGCTATCTGTGCATTGAAAGTGAAGGGAGTACTGGAGGATTCAACCAAATTCCACGCAAAACTTACGTTGGTCGATTTAGCAGGAAGTGAACGTATAAAGAAAACAGGTGCACAAGGAAGTCGACAAAAGGAAGGAATCAACATCAACAAAGGTCTTTTCATCCTGGGTCAAGTTGTGAGCGCTCTTGCAGAACAGCGCCCCAAATATAAACGCAAGCCTCCGTACCGTGATTCAAAGCTCACTCGATTGTTACAGGATTCACTTGGAGGCAACTCGAGGACGATAATGTTGGCATGTGTCAGTCCCGCCGATTTCAATCTTGACGAGACGGTCAACACCCTTCGCTATGCCACAAGTGCAAGAAATATCAAGAACAGCGCGACAAGAAATGTCATCAAGACAATATCTCCAGAAGAGGCGGCCAAGTTGCAAAGAGAGAATCAATTACTCCAGGCTCAGGTCAAGGAATTGCAAGAAACAATTCAAAGAATGGCACAAGATGCTTCGCCCTCAATGGCTTCGGCAGATACTGACAGCGATGATGACATGGACATCGAACTAGTAGAAAACAAGGCAGAAGCAAAAAGAATTCGCGACCTTGAGAGTGAGGTCAAACAATTGAAAGCTGCATTGAACAAAAAAGGTGGAGCCCGTGAGATATCGCAATCTATGGCCGACAACGCAATTGTTGTCCCTGAGCTTAATAAGAAAGTAGCAACACTGGAAGAGGAGCTCAAGATGAAGGAAGAGTTGGAAGAAGAAAATATCATATTGAGGCAAGAGCTCGAGGAAGTTAAAGCGGATGCGCAGTCTGCACGTGTCGCGGCAAACAAGATGAGCAAAATAATGGATCAGCTCAGAGAGTTGAAGGGAGAAGAGATTGATAAAAAGCGAATGGAACACGATCATATCAAGGTCGAGGAGGCGTGGGTTAGTTTCGTCTTCCAAGTGCTCGAGACAAACAAGGAGCAAATGCAGAAGCTTCGGGATGACTTCTACTTGGTTGCACGAGTTGTTGAAAGCCCCGATGTTCTAATACCAGCGAAAAGTAACAGCAAATGGTGGCAAAGACTAGGGAATAAGGAGGAGGAGGGAGGTCCGCCAGAAATGACAGTTGACCCAGAAATGCGACAACAACTGCTATCAGAACATATACAGTTCTTCAATGAAAAGTTGCTAGAAGTTGAAAACGATATTGCGACAGAATCTGAATCCCTTGGATCGATAAGGGACTCGCTGAGGCAACAAAGAGATCGCCTCGAAATTGAGATTGGTAGTCACCAGTTCGAAAAGGATTCGTTGGATAAAAATGACAATGATCTCCTTGAACAACTGACAGCATTACTTATCGGTCCAGTGAAGAATCTTGGAGATTTTGCGTGATCTACCCAAGGAACGATCGGTTTCTGTTTCTCCAAGCTAACTTTCAGAATATCTTTTACCAACATTATTGTATTGACGAAATTAGGACTACTTACAGACAAAATTACATATTACTTTTAGTTGCATATGGTTTTAAATCTCCCTTCGACTCCCATCCCATTGAACTGTATTTTTTGGCGACGCTGACTTCGCCGGTCCTCTAATTATTCAACAACTGGTAGAGACCGACTTTAAAAATCTTTCAAATGGACGACGTCCATAGCCATACTGTATATATGGTGGCACTTGTAAATCACCACATATTTCCTGGTAGTATTTTAAATAGTGACTGTGGCGAACCAAATTATCTTGGTTGGGTATTTCTCCTTTTCAATGCTACCTTCCGAATTGATGGAACTTAAATTTGCCAGCGTTGTTCAATTTCACACTTCAATTGGGACTCCAAGGACTGGAAATAACCATCGCTGCTGGTTTCAATCTAGGTTTGTCACCGTCAATTCCACTTTGGCCGACCAATGGCCCATCAGTATACCAAAAAAGGGGTAAATAGGAGCCATCGATAAGACTGTTCGAACGGTTGCGCATCTTTCGATTTGTGCAAAATTAGCACATTTCTGATTTTCAGAATAGCCGGAAGAATGCAAAGATAGTTTTTGGAAGATCCCATTGCAGTCATCGAAAAGCTATATGATATTGCAAGTGCTTCACATACTGATTTCATGCTCTCTTCCGCTTTGTTTAAATCGAGACCTGTAAAAAACCATCATTGGGATAGTGAATTGCGATAGTGAATCAATACTTTCCTGATGCTGCCAAGCTGGCTTCCCACGAAGCCTTCCTTGTAAGTCCTTGTCTCTTTTCGATTTTCTTCTGCCGTCTATCCTCTTCGTATTCCTTCTTTGTTCCTGGAATTGGAACAATACCAAGAAGCTTCATCTTCTCTTTCTTTCTCGGATCGTTTTCTGTAAGAATGGATTCGTCCTCCCGATGGTCTTGGCCATCTAACCCAAGACGAACAAGATTAGAGCCGCATAGATCAAATTCAACCCGGATTCTCTGGCACTTACCATTCATTCCATTCGTGTTGTCTGCGAGCTTAATCACACCCATGGAGCTTTGGGAAGGCATTCGGACTACCTGCTTCTCGACCTCCCTTTTCTTCGTCTTAATTGTCACAGCCTCTTTCAACATCTTTCCATCCAATGTTGCAGTTGCGACTCCAGCCTTTACAGTTCGTTTGGTTGTTGCTAGAGCAACCCTTCCAGTCATTTTCGTCGTCTTGCCGACGAGCTTTGTTGTCTTCATGACGCCACCAGTGGTAGCTTTCGCTGTCTTCTTCACCAATGCTTTACTCTTTCCGAGCAACTTTCTGTTCTGTTTCTTTTCTCGTCGCGCGATTTCTTGCTCTCGTATTCTTCTTGCAATGAGCTCATCAGAGAACGCTCTATCCTGAGCAGATAATTGGGAGCCTTTAGCAATCTCAACATATGCGTCACGGATTTTATCTGGCTCGTATGTACCGATATCCCATTGCCGACTTTGTTCGTTCCACACAGCCTCGACAGCACTGTCTTTCATCACTTTCACCTTCATTGCACCCATTTGTGTCCACGCCTCCAATCCCCTCGATTCAATTGGTTTCATCTTTTTGTCTACTTTCCCGAGTTCCTTGCGACGTTCCTCCACTTTTTCCGCAGTTTTGCGAGCTAGGAGCACCATCTTGTCGTAATCTTCGCGTTTGTACCAAGCCTTGTTTATTTCATGTCCTGTATAATCGTTGATATGAAGAATTGTCTGCATTTCATCGAACTCGTCAAATCGAATTGTAGTCTTCCTGGGAGGTAAATGGTACGGAGAATCGGCTTCCATGTCGTCATCATCAATTATTTCTTCGTCGTAGTAGGAGGACTCATCTAAGACTTCCTCCATATAACTTCCATGTGACGAAACAGAGTTCTGGCGGTTTTCAGATTGTTGCTGTTGTTTCTTCTTCGCTTCTGCGTTCGACGCCGCAATCCAGATATTTTGACTGGACGTTGAGTTTGATGTAGCGGGACTTTGTTGGATTGGTTCCTTCGAACCTTTCTTCAACTCTTCGTCGCCCAGCTGTCTGAAGACAGGGGGCGGTTTTTCGACATTTACTGTTTTCCTCGTGCTCTTCGGAGACTTGCCAATCTTTTTGAGAAGCCCCATTGCTTCGAACAGCACCGCCCCTTTCCTTCGTTGTCTTTTGGCTCCTGGCGCTATTCAAATGCTATTCAAATCTCTATATTCATGCTTTGGCTACTTGGTGTGTCACGAATATGTTTCTCTTGCAGTCGGGTCTTGGATGACCTGAGACCGATCATTCGGAACCTGCTGTTCGTCCATCGTTCGTATACAGGGTTAGAAAGTACTGAAATAGTAGGCACAGTAGGGTTCAGGTGGTACCTGTACCATCATCATGCTGTACAGTAGAGCAGTATTCTGTCTTCTAGATGTTATGATATCATATGCTCCACAAGATGAAACCAAGACAAAACTATGTAGCACTGATCCTATTTCTTATTTCATATCATGACCTCTGGCGTATGCAGATTCGGCAAAACAACTGGATGATGTCAACGTGGAGGAGAGGTCTGAGCAGTTATCTCGATCCAAAGAGAAATTTATTTGACTATGCAGTTGGGGCTAAGCGAAAGCAATTTGTCTCGCTTTATGACAAGACTCTCCAAATAACTGGTGATGGATTTGGTACCTCATTCCAAGATACTGCCAAGCAGTTGAGCTATGTTTGGCTTGTTGCATGATTACCAGTGTTACTTTTCAATGTAATCCTACGGATTACCAGGCGCCGCCTCCACTTCATGACTTGAGGTCTAGAGTGATTGGCCTAGGATGATTGCATACTACAAATTTGTACCAAACGAGATTATGCCAGCCCTCCATACGTAAGTAAGAGATGTAAGTTTGGCATCGTAAGCTTGGTTGTTAGAATAAAGCAAAATGTGCTCTATCGTGAGTGCTTTTAGCGCTCAGAACAAACTCTCTGCAATCTAAATTCGTAATCAACTGTACAACACTTTCACGACAATAGTTCTCCTGTGTCTAGGTAT